AAACCACATAACTATACTCACAGCCCTTCCCTTACCAGACAGATGGACAGGAAGGGCATTTCAGGATGGAGCAGAGGTTGAGCACGATGAAGGCCATCCGTACACCCTGGCCTTGCTCAGGGGAAGAGAGGTCCAAGGACGGAACTGAGACAGGAGAGCAGGTCAGAGCCTGGGGACTTGTGCACAGTGTCCCCCATTTCCTGTCTCTGATGCTGTCGCCTTACCAGATTCAGCCCAGATACCTACCCCTGTGGCCCCAAATCTCCCAGTTGTGTCTCGAGAGGCTCTCTTTGGATGTGGGTGGCCACGTGTGGCCTTTTGAACCCAGATAGCCAGGGAACTGCCCTGGCGCAGGGCTGGCAGGGCCAACCTTTTTCCATCTGTATATTTTCCAAATCATCACATATTTCAGCCTGTGTCACTGCTGATTGCTAGCTCTCTGACCCATTGGCTTTAAATAGCAAAAGAGAAAAAAAAAAACACACAATGCACTTTGTGGTTTCCAGTAAGATATCGTAAATATACCCAGATAATATTCCGGTGCGAGCCATTTGCAGGGCGGTGGAGTGGAATCTTTCAGGCAGGCTTGGACATCAGTTCATTTCCCCTGTCCCCGCTGGGATCACCGTGGAGCTGGAACACAGGGCGTCATCTGGGTCCCACTTTCGCCTCAGTGATAACACATAGCACTCCAGCCACCGCCTTCTAGGGCGTTGGATGCAGAAGTTTTTTTTTTTTTTTTTTTTTTTTTTTGGTCTTTTTCGTTTTTATCGGTACCAAGGATCGAACTCACGACGGCCTGCTTGCAAGGCAGGCGCTTATGCCGCTGAGCTAAATCCCCAGCCCTGGATGCAGAAGTTTTGTGAGCTCCTCAGAGCAGCTTGGCAGTGAGGCTGGGGTCCCATTTCACGGATGGGACAGCAGGGGCTCAGGGAAGCAGAGATCTTGCTCAGGTCACCCAACTGAGTGAGGGTGGGAGAGGAGGGACCGATGAGCTCCTTCCCATCTGGCTCTGAGCTGACATCACCCAGTGCCCCAGGCTTCTGCATGGAAACTTGAGTTGGACAGCTGGAGGGCTGGGAGTAAGAAAGCCGTGGTGGAGGGGAGGGCAAGGATGCTGTGCTGTAGCCTACAGATCATGGGTCCAATCCTGTCTCCTGAGTCACTGTGAAACCTGTTCCTCCACACACTTTGTCTCTGTCCCCTACATCTGACTATGAGGACAATAGGGGGTTCTGCCCAAGCAGGATGGTGGGAGCACAGGACTCGCCACCTCCAGAGCCTGGCTTTCTCTCTGGCCTCTTGCTCAACCTGTCCCACTGCAGGTCCCACCCCTCAGGGCCACTGTCCGTACCCCTTGCCATGGCTGAGTCCCCTGCCTCTGTTTTCCAAGTCCCCAGCACACAGTAGCTGTTGAGAGAAGGGACCGGCATGTGCTTGGTCCTAAGGTGGGGCAGGGGTCTACATGGAGGCTCTTCCTCTTGTCTAAGTCGGAGGGAGAACAGGCTGTTCCTGGGGCACACAGCACCCCCAAGAGCCCAGTGTCCCTCATCAGCCCCATGGGAGGGTCCAGGAGTGAGCAAGGGGCAGGAAGTTGGTGGGACTGGAAGAGGTACTATGACTCTGGGACAGGAGAGCGGGTGCAGGGCAGGGGACGCAGGACCTGCACTGTCACAATTGAACCGTGTAGGCCACAGCACATTTTCAGGCCTCATCATGTACATCTGTAAAATGGAGACCACAGTGGTCCACAGCTCACAGTGTTGGCTGGCACCCCACATCTACCACCCCACTCCATTTCTGCAGCAACAATGCAGATGTTTCAGCACCACCTTGAGACTGGGTGTGGTGGCACATGCCTGTAATCCCAGCACCTGGGAGGCTGAGGCAGGAGGATCACAGTGAGTTCAAGACCAACCTAGGCTATATATAGTGGAACCCTGTTTCGAAAAGCAACTCTCCAAAAAAAAAAGTACCTTGGTGATACCTCTTAAGAGACATCCATGATGGCACTGCAGAAATGACTCAATCAGAGAGCCATTTGGTCCCCAGTTTAGGACCAACGCCAAGCAGTGTGTGTGGTCAGGCCCTGGGACCGTCTTGTAGAGTTGGTCAGGATACCTGTGCCACCTGAGTTGCCAGCCCAGCTCTGCCCAGGAGATCACCTTATTTCTCCAAACCTTGCTTTCCCCTGTTCATCTGCCTGGTGAGGGGAGCTGAACTGGATAAAGATGAATGAACCTCCTTACACTGAGAGTCCGATTTCAGGGTTCCAGGGTCCCTTTCTGCTTACTATACTCTGGCCATACACTCTACTCTCAGCTCAGTAAAATGTCCTACTCTATAGGTCCCAACCCATCATTTTTTGATAAGCTATAACTGGTAACTAAATGCCACATCTAGACAAGAGTGGCCACCTTACCCCCAAAGGACTCCCTCTGTCTCGAACCGTGGACTTCTAGAGACAGGGATGGCCAGGATGGGAGGGGAGAAGGCCAAGGCAGGAGCTGCCCAGCGTGGCCTCGAATGCCAGGTCTGGCAGTTGGGGATGTGCATGAATCACTTCTCCCCTCGCAGATCCTGTTTCCCCAAACCTAAAGTCATGGGGAGTGGTGTGTGCCATGGGGGTCACCTGAGCCCAGCCTCCTGGAGATGCTCAGCACACACTCCTTCCTCTCCAGCCCATCTGTCCCACACTCCTGAGCCCTCTTATCCCCTGCCCAGCTGCTGGTGTTGGGGTGGGGGCGGGGAGGAGAAGCTAAAGTTCCTCTCAGGCTCCACACCAGCCTAGTTAGGACCCCTCCTCGCCTGCACAATGAGGGTACTGTTTTTAACCCTTCTAGGAGCCATTTCCCTGAGGATAAGAAGCACCCTCTTCTGCAGGGCTGCCTACATTGTCAGGGCAATGAGGGTCCTGTTCTCAGCCAAGTGTCTAAGTGCTTGGCCACTGGAACTTTGTTCTATGCACCCAGTCACCATACTAAGGTGGGTACTATGGCCACCCCATTTCACAGGGAGGAAGTGGGATGAAGAAAGGTTAGGGGACTCCCCCACACTGGAGAAAGCAGGGAAACAGGCTTCTCCACACCTCCATCACACCGATCTTTTCTCTGCTGTCTGACCATGCTGTTCTCACACCCCTCGGGTTTGCTTCCTGGAGTGTGAGCTGGTACCCAAGATGATTGGAGCACTTTCTCTTGGCCTCTACTGGGGTCCACGTTCCTTCTGAACTTGGAGCCTTTGGAACATGCAGGGGGACAGGCTTGAGCCAGGGCAAGAATGGGGCTGCCAGGCCCCAAAGACCATGGACTCTCAGATTCACCCTCCTGCCTCCTGCTTGACCAAATTGTACCCCTCTGTTTATAATGGAGCCTTGCTGGGTCCTGGGATGGTGTGCAGGGTTTTCCTGGGTCCCTTTCTCTGGAACCCTGTCCATCAAGTGCTGTCTCTCCTCCAGCCTCTTGAGCAGGGCTTGACCCTGCCCACTGTCCTTCATTCAATTCAAGCCCTACCTCCTCTACAGAGCCCAGCAGTGTAAGGAGGGCCCCATTCCACCCAAGCCACAGTTGCTTCCTCTTGTCTTCATGTGGCTGTGATGGGTTTCTGTGTCCCTCTGTGAGCCCAACAGAGTATCTTTTCTTGATTTTCATGTAACAAAGCATTGCTGGGTTTTATCACCAGAGCAGATCCAGCCTGTGCATGCACCAGTGGGATCCACAGCATTCTGTCCCCACCCTGCCAGGGATGTGCTACCCATAGCTGCTCTCCAATGATCACTGCAGAGCTGGGCACTGGGGCAGTGTTCAAGTCATACCCTTTGCAAGTCCCAGAAGTCAAGGGGCCACTGAAATGGGAGGTCCTAGACTCCTGAACACCCAGTGGGGGTCATTTGTTGAGCAAGTCACCAGGCTAAGCATTCTACATGCTCCTTTTACCCTCCTGGGGGCCCCTGTTGGGATGGAGCTTTAGCCACATTTCACAACTGAGGAGACAAGGAAAGGGGGCTCCCCAATCACAGTAAGAGGCAGAGCTGGGATGTGCATCTCAGTGTCCTGGATTCCAGAGCCCCTGTGTGAGTTAGCAGGGGAGTGGGGTTGTGGGTAGAACCCCATAACAAAACTAGCCTTTGCATAGGGAAGTTGTCTGCAGTAGTGCAGGCTTGTGTCTTAGCAACCTGGTGAGGTGAGTGGAGAAAGAATGGATGCACCCCAAGATGCCAAGCAGAAGCCACCTCCCATCCCCCCAATTCAGTATCCTGTAAAGCCTCTTCACTGCAGCATCCTGAAACACCTTCTCCAGGCCCTGGTTACCTACCCAGCTCCACCCCAGGCACCTGCTCCCAGGTCAGGTCTCTTCCTGGGGCCTCCCCTGTGATACTACTCAGGGCTCCCCTGCAGTGCCTGGGTCCATCTGCACCCTGTAACACAGAGGCTGCTCTCAAATTATTTATACAGGGAAAGGGAGAGGCAGAGATGCTAAGAGACTTAGAGGCAGCACTGTGTTTCACCCACCCAGCATTCGCCTCTGGCAGCCCCTTTCTCAGGACCCTCCATCACCATTGAAGAGGCTCACAATCCAGTGAGGGGGCCACCAACAAGGGAAGGGAAGGGTATCTAAGCCAGCAGGGGATGCCGCAGTAGGGACAGTGGCCACAAGAGCAAGAGTGGCCCCATCAGGCACCGTGGTGACTCCTCCTGTTCTCTGCCATCACATGAGAAAGGGACTCCGGGTACAGCCTTCCAGAGCCGGGGCAAACGGCCTGCGTGCCCTACTCACCCACTGGCTGAACACCTTCCCAATGGACATGGTGGAGTGGGTGTGTGCACAGTGGTGCTGCCCAGCCCCAGTCTCCACCCAAGAATGGACAGTCAGTCTCCCGGGAGCCATTGCACTGAGCTCAGCCACTCTGCTGGGCCAAACCAGCCTCCCCCAGGTATCTGATACCCCAGGCCCACAAGATCCGCCCCCCAGAATCTCTCCACTCTTCTGTCCCTTCTCAGGGAGCCGGGAGGCTGCCTTCACCTACGCCATCATCGCCGCAGGCGTAGCCCATGCCATCACCGCCGCCTGCACCCAGGGCAACCTGAGCGACTGTGGCTGTGACAAAGAGAAGCAAGGCCAGTACCACCGGGACGAGGGCTGGAAGTGGGGTGGCTGCTCTGCCGACATCCGCTACGGCATCGGCTTCGCCAAGGTCTTTGTGGATGCGCGCGAGATCAAGCAGAATGCCCGGACTCTCATGAATTTACACAATAACGAGGCAGGCCGCAAGGTAGGCAGCCAGGGAGGGGACTGGGCTCGAGCAGGGCCCATGAGCCAACCTGTGTTGTACATCCTGTACGGTGTCTGGGGACGAGTGGGGACCTAACCGGGACTTCATTCTGCTGGACCCTGGTGTCCATCATGGCTGGTCGGGTTTGTGTCTCACGTGCAGTTCACTGGTGACCACAGAAGTTAAATTTCCATTGAAACAAGACAGAAAGAGGCACAGGTGTGAGTGCTTCTCTTAGGAGAGCCAGATGTACACACCTCTGACCAGGGTGCAGGGCTGAGGCTTCTGTAGGCTTGGCTGCCACAGAAGCTAACTGGTCCTTGGTTCCCTGAAGCAAGATCTAAAGCTCAAAATGAAGACAATGAGAATTCCTTCTTCCTTGCCTCGTCAAATCCTCCTGGATGTGAGAGTCAGAAATGTTTTTGAATGCTCCCAGTGGAGGTGGCCAGGATGGATGGAGACTGACACCCCATCCCATAAGCACTAGCCATCCAAGGTGGGAGAAGCAAAGGGGTCTACCAGAACCAGAGCACATGGCAGGGGAAATCATGGGGAGCCAGGTCCTGTCAGAACAAGATGACCGGCCGTAGTCTTTGAGAAATGAATCATTACCAATAAGGGAGTGAGCTCCCCACCCCAGGGAGCATTCAAGCATATGCAGCTGGCCAGACATTTCGGGGCAGCCAAGTCAGCACAGTGGGCCTAGACCTGAGGTTGGGCATGAGTTTTGGCCAGGCCTGTGAGGGATGAGGTACTCAGAGCTGACCCTGATGACCTCAGGTTCAGAAGGGCTGGAAGGGCATTTGGTCTCTGGAGAAGTGCTGTGAGCCAGCCTGAAAAAGGAGAGAGGGCAGTGCTGGCCTTGGGTGGGGGACTGAGCACTACAGTGACTACCCTGGCAGGGTCACCACAAGAGCCACAGACACAGGTATCAGCAAGTGCAGAGTTGGCTGAACCAAAACACAGGCCCAGTTCACAGGCCCGGAACGCAGGAACTGGCCTCAGCCCATGGCTGGATTCTCCCACACTGTAGTCACGAGGCGCTCTGGCCCCCATGTGGCCCTGGCTGAGGTTTTACTCTCTGATTTTTTGCCACAGTCATCTTGTTCTGAAAATTTGTTGTCATCAATAACTATTGAAAGGTGAGAAAAGCAAGCACCAAAGATATCTTCGGGGCTCAGGGCTCAGAGACACACATCCACTGGCCGACGGGGGGTAGAGTGGTGGGATCTTGTCCTGGTGGAGCCAGGCTTCTTCTAGCTGCAGGACTCTGAGCTCGTGGAATCCTCACAGTGTCTGCAGGAGGCCCTGTCAACACTGACCTCCTTACAGGGGAGGACATTGGAGCACAGAGCGATTAAGGAACACTTTAGGTGTCCCACAGCAAATGATAGGCATGTCTTGCTGTGACACATGTGATCTCAACATGTGTGCACGTGGCCATCATGTGGTGCTCCTGGCATGGCTGCTTGGGCAGCCACTTGGTGCAGGTTCAACTCTGCCACTCCCTCCCACACTTGGCCTGGCATCCTCAGAGCCCACCTCAGCAGTGCAATGTTGAGCCATGCATGCCCACTGGCAGGAGGGGTCTGTCTGGCCTTGGCATGTGGCAGCAGTGCACCTCAGTGGGAAGAAGGCCCTGTCCTGCCCTCCTCACCCTCTTCACTGGCCTAATGCCACATCCTGGTGAGTCACATGGGCGCCGCTCACCTAGCCTGCCCCAGGGTGATATCCCTGGGTATACTGCAAGCCTTGCCAGTCTAGGCCCATGGCTGAAGGGCCTGCCCAGGGTAAGAGCTCGTGGCAGGCAGGTTCCTCCATCTCAGGGCCAGAGCCCTCAGGTCACAGATCACAGGTTACAGGTCACAGGTCACAGTGGCAGGCAAGGATGTCCCTACAACATCACAGTCCTCATCTGGGGCTGCCTGGTTGGGCCGTGATGGGAATTCTAGGGGAAGGCACCTAGGGTCTGGTGGAAGTCAGCCTTGGGCCAGATCAGGTGGGAGGGCATCATGTAAGGCACACGGCTCTGCCAGACGTGCGGTTTTTCTTCTTTTTTCTCATTATGTGTTTGCAGCATATCATGACTACATTTATAGTGAGGAGGTGGCACATGGACATAATACATCTTAACTCCCTTTTCATCCCCTCCAGTCCCCGTCCCCTGCTCCCTCCAACTCTTGTCCCCTTTCCGTTTGCACAAAGTCTATTTCCACTTCTTTTCTTTAATTTTCTCTTTTTTTCACCCTTTCCTTCCCTCCTGCACCCACCCTCCGTTTCGTGGTCCCCTTTCCATTATAAGATCTTCCTAGTTCTGTTATCTTTTACTTTGCTCTTTATTTTTACTTTGAGTTTCTCATGTAAGAGAAACCATGTGATATTCAAGCTTGTATGTCTGATTCATTTCACTTCATATTATGGTTTCAGGATGCATCTGCTTTCATAGAAGTGACTAAGCTTGTTTTTCTTTATGGCAGGGTGGTACTCGACTGTGTGTGAATACATTTTCTTTATCCAGTCATCTGGCAATGGACATATACGCCGTGTTGTGCTCTTAGCTATTTGAATTGTGTTGCTATCAACACAGGTGTGCCAGGATCACTGAAATATGAGGTCTTTAACTCTTTCAGGAAGATACCTAGAAGGGAAACCACTGGGCCGAACAGAACCTATAGTTTTAGATTTTTGAGGATTCCCCATACTGATTTCCATGGTGGTTGTACTAGTTTACTTTCCTATCAGAGATGTAGAAGGATCTTTATTTCCCCACAGCCCATCCAGCATTTGTTCTCGGCTGATTTTCTTGATGATGGCCATTTTTCTAGAGTGAGATGGATTCTCAGCATTGTTTTAATTTGCATTTCTCTAATTTGCATTCAGTCGTAGTGACACAAGTTGGTGGGCAAAACTGACACGAGAGCTGGCAGTGGTCAGGGCCCTAAGCTCAGTGGGTTCTCAAGAGGAGGTGGCTCCTAGATGAATGAGGTTTGGTTAAGCAGAGAAGAGGGATTGAGTGGGGGCAGTGGACAAAACTCCTAGTGGTCAAGGATAGGGCTGTGGACAGAAATTCTGAGGTAGAAATATGGGGCAATATGACCCACCCTTGGCCCTGCTCAACCAAGGAGTGACAGCCTTAGGGTCCTCCTCAAGTCCCCTGTGACTGCCCTCTGGTGGTCCCCATCTCAGGCACAATATCACCATACCTTCCCCGCTGCATCTAGTACATTCCCTGTCTCCAGGTTGAAGGCTCAAGGACAGAGGTGCCAGGTATTTCTGTTACTACTGCTGCCCAGGCCTTCGCACATAACAGTGTCTCTATAAATATATACCGGGGCATAGGTAAGTCCCTTGTGGTTGCTGGGAGCCCTGGATGGTTCTGGGACAGAGGAGGGACAAAAGTCACAGAAACAGACCCTTGAAGGACACACTGAGGCCAGGAGTGAGTGTGGGGGAGTGCAGGGACAATGACCCTGGCCATATTCTAGATCACAGGTGCCGGCCATTTGGCTCCTGGGATGCCATGGTGCTGCTGATTAGAAGTATCAGAACCTGTGGGGACACTTCAAACAGCAGGAGAGTTGGGGAGCCAGCACTTGGAGGAGAAGAGACCAGGGCTCGGGGACTCCTCCCAGCTGGAAAAGAGGCATGCAGCGGGCAGGGTAGAGTCCACTGGGTACTTGAAGCACAGCTGGTCTCCAGCTGGATCCCAGCTGTGTGACACCAGGCCTGTACCTGCGGGTGAGACCTGACTGACGTGGCCACCCCACCCCCACGGTGACATGACCAACAGTGAGTCACACAGTGGTCAGGGTAAGAGGCAGCAGCAAGGGCTGCAGCTGGCTCTGGGGACAGTCATTTTGGGATTGTCACCCCTGCTGGGGACAGGGTAAGGCCATGAAGACACAGACTGTGCAGCCCAGGATTGTGGAATATCAGGCCACATCCTGGCAATTGGGTCCTCGAGTCCCACGATCCTGTGCTGGGAAGAAGAGAAGAACCAAAGCTGTGTGTTGAAATATTTCAGTAGCTGAGTCTTTGTGGCTTTGCATCATTTTCCCCTTCTCTTGGGCAGTGCAGAGGTGAACAACCCACAGGTCGTGCCCTTAAGCCACTTGTGTAGAGTCAGACAAGAGCAGAGAAAAGCGTGACTGAGGGCTGCAAGACCAAAGAGAGGTTTGATACAGAAAGTACAGAAGAGGCCAGAGGAGGGATGGTTCCCCCTGGAAGAATTCAGAAAGCTACTGAAGGGAAGAAAGGAACTTTAGGTGAGGCTTGAGATATGCAGGAGCCCTCTAGATAGACAAGGAAAAGGGCCTGAGCAGGAGCAGGAGCAGGTTGGTACCTCGGTGGTAGAGCACGTGTGTAGGTGAGGCTCCCGGCTCCCTGCAGCTGTGTCGCTCAGCGGGGCCCAGGCAGAGGTACTCAGACGGAAATGCTAGGGTACCATTGGAGTGAAAGATTACGTAGCCTCAGCTCAGGATGCCCTGGCCAGCCACTGCTAGAACCTCTGCTCTAAAGAGAGCTCCCAGGAGCTACTTCCTGGCAGCCAGCAGAGAGGGGTAACCCTGGTCTTTGTAAAACACACAGCCGAGCAAGTATAGAGAAACCAGGAACCTGGGCTTCTCAAGTCGCTTCCCCAATCATCCATTGCAGGAGGCAGGGCAGGGACCCCAGGCTGTACTCTGAGCCCCCTACCCTGAGCCTGGCCAAGGCTGCCTTGCCACTACACCCCCCAGGGAGCTCTGGGGAGGAAATGGAGTTTGGGGACTGAGCCTGGCAGAGGCAGCCTGCGTTGGGGACCCAGCTGGGCTGGGCTGGCCCCCGCTGGAATGCAGCTGCTCCTGGGCAGTGAGCTCAGGGCCCTGGAATTCCACCTGAGGAGCAGTCGCCTCCCAGCCTCTGCTTGTGTGCAGAGGGTGTCAGTCTTGTCCCTTCCTGCCCAGCCTGGCTGGTCGGGGTGCTCCTGAGAGCTGAATTCCCACTCCTGCCCCAGCCCTGGG